GTTCTTATAGTGTGCCCTGTTTGTGTGACCACTTATGTAAAGCGTATTCAGAAATTCGTTTCAAGCTAATTAAATGCCTTTCCAGGCATTTGGAATGAAAATGAAATTACAAGTTAAAAATGATGACTGAAAACTTTGATTTTTTTTCCAAGATTTATCGAAACTTTTCTATTCCAATTTACCAGCAGGCAGGCAGGTCACGATATTTAAATTAAGCAAAAAAAAAAACGTATATATAAAACAATTAGGACAATTGAATTCGGGTGCAACCGCAATTTTTATACCCATCAACTTTTTTATTTTAAATACAAAAGAAAGGATATGTCGATGCTTTATATTATTCAAGGGACGCAGTCAATTTTTCTATTTTTATATAGATACTGTAGATGTAGAATCTCTCCTAGAATAGACGTGGACATTTTTATCTTTAAATTTATTTTGGGGTCTCGGGGCAGGATTATTAAACTTCACCATTCTTCAACATAGGGTGGGCGCGGTAGAATCATCCACGGAATATGCGTGTAAATTTTGATCATTGTATTTGTTGTGGTTTATAACACTAAAGAATGAAGCCTCAGAAACAGCACAAAGTATATATAATGTCGATCAGCATCAAATTCTAATCCCATTAAAGCAAGTCCGCGATTGACTTTAAACTTGATACAAAGATTGGAAGTTCTTGCACACAGGTAATAAAATTTGGTTTTTTGTTCGTTAGCTATAAACCGTCACAAATACAACAATAAAAATTTGCATTTATCAAAAATTGAAATTTGATCATTTCATCGAAGCCTTTGCAGCACTCAGAAAGAAGCTTCACGGACCATATTTAGCCAACATATTATTCAGTCCAGTATCAAACTAAATGCATTCTACTTGGTTCTTTTGTGTTTAAAAAGAGAGCCGGTCTCACATTAAATCGTATTATGGACGTGTCTTCTGATCGATTTCACACATTTCTAATATTAGCCTGCGCACAACTGCTTCTACTCTTCCTGAGAAATTTGAAGCCGATCGCTTTAGAAGAATATTTATTGCAGAGATTACACACAGGCAGGTCGATAAGCGGACAGGTGAACACGCTTATATCGATTCAGAATTTGAGGCTGATCAAATATATAGATATTTCATGGCGTCTTGAAAGCCTCCCTGTGGATGTTGCAAGCATTTTGACAAAATGAATATACTCCCATCCTACGGTGGTGGGTATAAAAGAAAGAAACAAAATGAAAAGCTTCTTCATTACGAATGACAATAGCAACTTTCTTTCACTTACGATGTTACATGTCAAGATGCTTAAAAACTCCGATAAAATATGTGACACATGTCTCAACCGCAAACTGTTGTATGTAAATGTAAGGAAATATTAGTTTGGGGAAAAAGAAATCCATCATTTTTTCGGTAGATGGCTGCACTGATAGATTTCTCGTAAAGTATCGATCAAACAATTTCCGATACTGTACATTTACATACTGTACATTTTGCAGTAAAAAAATTCTTTTGCTGTTTTTTGTTTGGTGCATTCAGTTGTGAGTTACAGCGTGTTAAAAATGGAAGTGAACAAAGAGAAAATTCGGTACATTTTACAGTTCTTCTTTGACAAAAGCGAAAATGCAAGCCAGGCGGTTAAAATTGTGAATGGTGTTTATGGTTCCGATACTGTAAGAGCCAATTATGTGCAATTTTGGTTTCGTAGATTCCGTTCAAGAATTTTTGATGGTAAAGATGCACCTCGCACAGGTAGGCCGGTCGTCGAAAATGTCGATAAAATCGGAGAAATGATCGAACTTGACCGGCATGTTAGCAGTCGTAACATCGCCCAGGAGCTAAAAATCGTCCATAAAACAGTTTTAAACCATTTACACAAAGCTGGATTCAAAAAGAAGCTCGATGTTTGGGTACCACACCAATTAACAGAAAAAAACATGATGGATCGAATTTCCATCTGCGAAGCCTTGGCCAAACGGAATGAGATAGACCCATTTCTTAAACGGATGGTGACTGGAGATGAGAAATGGATCACATACGATAACCCTGTGCGAAAACGATCGTGGTCAAAGAGGGGTGAAGCACCTCAAACGGGCAGGAAGGTTTTGCTATGCATTTGGTGGGACTGGAAGGGGATTATTTATTATGAGTTGCTTCCATATGGCCAAACGCTAAATTCTGATCTCTACTGTCAACAACTGGACCGTTTGAAGATAGCGATTGACCAGGAGAGGTGTCGTGTTTCACCAGGACAACGCTAGGCCACACACATCTACAGTGACTCGCCAGAAACTTCGGGAGCTTGGTTGGGAAGTTTTAATGCATCCGCCATACAGTCCGGACTTGGCATCAAGCGATTATCATCTTTTTCTTGCATTGCAAAATTTCTTTAATGATAAAAAATTGGAATCTAGGGAGGATTGTGAAAATCGACTACTAGAGTTTTTTGCAAATAGCGACTAGGACTTCTATGAGAGAGGCATTTTGAAGTTACCTTTAAAATGGCAACAAATCGTACAACAAAACGGTGCATATTTGACCCAAATCGGACAATCCGAAGCATGTTAAATAAAGTCCTGAAGTTCATATAAAAATAATGGATTTCTTTTTCCCCAAACTAATATATCAAAAATAAATAACTTGTTTTCTTAAATTTCGGATTTCCGATTTCCACCCGATTTTACATATTATCCATTTAATCGGACTCACGGGGAGGGGCGTACGCAAATAAATAGTTTTTTCTTGAGGACTATGTTGGCACATAAGTTGTAACAAGTTAATGTAAGAATTAAGATAACAAAATTATCCATTAGACATTCAGAAGTTATAAACCAATATTATATTCGCCTGAGTGCTAAGTTTTAAGTCAATACATTGGGATTGCAAGATACTTTGTTAAATGTAGGAATGTCAGTTGGTATATCGATGTCGGCCCAGGTCGTCCTCAGGTTGTAGACTTTCGACCACTAAGTTTGATTTATTGAAGGGTATTCCCACCTATTGTCAAGGGCAAGTGCAATCCGTTAAACTCTAAAGAGAAAATTTAATCGATCACGAATGGGAAGAACAGGACAGTCTGGACGAGATAGAAGGGGGTTTTAGCAAGCGGCCGAGACAACTGAAAGTTAGACAAATGATAAGACAAGATGGCGAAGCCACGGATTCGACCTTTAAAGATCGCGTGATCATAGTTGAAAAGACTGGTTCAAGGTAAAGGCGGAAAGGCGTAATGGTAAACAATCGAAGACGAATCACTAACTCAACTATTCATTAATACCTGATATATAGTTGAAAAATTAAAATAATAAGAAAATTGTTGGCAACACATTTGTGTTTCCTACAAAGACGAGGGGAACAAAAGAGGCGAGAAAACTCTGTTCCATAGAGTACTTAAACAGAGAATTTGACATCAACCTATACTTGCCGAATACAATATAAATAATATATGTAATTATATCGGCACACATGCACAATGAAAGTATATCAACTGTTGTTTTCGGAAAGAGCGTCAACTGGGAGAAACTGAGAAATGAAGAATGTATTTCGAACTTCAGCACGGTGAATATAGAATCAGTGATCCTTTTTCACTACTTTATAGAGAGGCATATATTAGAATAAGCGAAGATCGAAGCTTTGTTACATATATTGGCACATGCATATATACATTTAGTAATTCGTTGTTATTACATTAGTCGTTCCCTTCTGTTACATACTTTACATCTAGCAAAAGTCGAATAAAGCACATCGAGCTTTTTAAAATACTTTAGCTTAAAGTATATTAAATGTGCCACTCATCTTACAAGTAGCTTACCCAAGCCGATTTTCTCTTTAAAAATAACCGAGAACCGATCATTACCTATAATTATGGTCTCAATAACTTCACTTCTAGTCGGTTAACTGTTATCAAGTACCATACTGCACGTAGAGTTACTTTGCAACTGTATTACAGTGGACATCAAGGATCGGGACATAAATATATAAATTTCTTGTCTTGCATGCTTCCCTTTTTTGCAAAGGAATTTATTGTAATTTCCTTGACCGACTTCAAATGTTTGTTTAATTTGAAAAAAAATTCTGACGGTATTAATGCTTCCTCTGAGCTATTAACACAAAACTCGGATTGACTTGAGACTTTACTTCTCCCTTCGGAGGCTTTTGGTCTACGATCTTTTCGTATAACTTCGCTTACGCAATCACGAAATCATAGAAATTTCGTAAATAATTGCCGTCAATTACTTTGCAAAATAATTTATTTTACTTTTTGTTTTAATTGTTTCACTTTCAATTACACAAAATAAAATTTCATAGACCTTGTACTTTTTTCTTATTATTGAAGGCAAAAGAAACAACTAGGAGCAAGAGTGTCCATTAAGTATCTTACACTATTTCGCTTAATACCAGTGTTGATTCATTTTCGTAATAAAAAACAAAAATCTATCCCTTGTTGGACAACAAAGGGCCCTTATATGAGATGCGGTCCAAATAATATATATTTTTGCGCCACGCAGTAGTACTAAATTGTTAGACAATTATTGATGTCAGACAACTATTAAAGACCAATTTTCATCACAAAATTATAAAAATTGGACTTTTATTAATTACGACTATATGGGAGGCGCTTCTAGAAATTGCTTCATCTGGTCAAAATTTTTCACGTTAACCTGCAGATTTCTATTAAGAAATTTCGAAAAATCCAAATTTTTTCATAGAATGACTACTTCCTTAAAATAAGGCCTTTATTCGATGGTAGAAATGATCGAATTCGATCCATTTTCAATACAGTTCATTCCTGGGCCAACATACATCGGTGTACCAAAATTTTACCAAAACATGTCAAGAATTGCCCCTTGTAGGATGTGCACAAATATTAAAATAGACGGAGACTAGACGCACAGGTAATCTTAAGCCGAATTTAGAAAGTATTTCTGACTTTGCATCCGGCCATAATTAATTTACGCTATACTAAAAGTAGTGTAGGGTATTTAAAGAAAATAATTTAAAAATTCACTTACCTCACTTAATTGTACTATTTGCATTAAAGCTAATAATCTGTAGATGCAATGGCGCCAGTTCATGTTATAAATTTCTAGACAAATATTAAGAAAATCAAAACATCAACAATACAAGAAGGGGAAATGATTGCAGCCGGTTTTGTTGAATTACACTCAAGTGCCATAACAAATAACGAATGATGCTGTAAATAAGAAAGTTACAAAACTTTAGAAACAAGAAAAGCAGAAATAAAAAAAATAAAAAAACAAAAATTAATGCTACGTTAGTCCATCAGTTATGCTTCTTTAGATTTAGACTCTCTTCGTGTCACAATTGTTTATATATACTACGTGTTGAGGTTGTAAGCCAGTAAAGAAAATATATTATTATTATTATTATAAATTTAGCCAGAGAATAAATTCTAAGACTAAAGTCTTAAAGCACTAGCATCTAGGGCTATTGGCTTTTTATTACAAAACTCTACCGCACTTGAGGTTTGAACCCACGACTATTGAGTTGCTAGTCGAGACTCTTGCCTACTCGGCCACTCAGGCGGATAAAGAAAATATAAAAAGGTGGATTACTTAGGAATATATAAGATGTGGTGGCCTTTCTTAATTCCATTTTGAATAAATCGACCACTTCGCCGGTTAGGTGTAATTTTTCGGGGGAATGTTTTCTAATTGTGTCATCTTTTTAAATTTAATCGGATATCAAGGAAAAATGAAAATATTCGTCAATATTCTAGACCGAAACTGGCATCCAACAAAGTCGGATAAGTTTTTCACTCAAAGCGAGTCTTTTGCGTACATAAGAACTGAAGACATCCTACTTAGTGCATTGAAAGGGCAGATAATAAGCACTAGGGTTTTGTTGTAGCGCCTTCAAACTCTGGATGAGGTGCAGAAGCGCAACGAGTTGCTCCTAATGTGGGTATGAAAACATTCAGACATCGAAAACAAGGAAAGGATCGGCTGCTTACCCAGTAGAACTACACCCTAAGGACTATGATCGGTACGGCGCCTTTCTGCGGTGTATCAAGGGATCATAGTAAGAGGTTAGTATCGCAATTGACTCAGAAAAAAACACCTCACCATAGAAAGCAGTGTAGAACAATGGCGAGCTAAACCGGCATAACATAGAAGCTGTTCGTACTACGAAGGGACGACGTACATCTCGTAACTAGCTTTTACATGAGTCATAATTCCTCCAGGTACCACCTGAAAAATATCCTGGACACCGATTCATGCACATTCTGCGAGGGGGCGAAGCAAATATCCCTTCATAACGTGTGCGAATGTGCGGCCATCTGCAGAATCGGATATCAACTGATCCGCCAAAATTTCATAACGCCGAACACCGTATGGTGGTCCGAAGATGGCAGCACGCATTCGTAAGAGTCCCAAAGCTGGACAGATAGGAGCATAGGCGTGGAGAAAATAAATCGTTTTAGGTCCCAGTACGGACTACTAATCAAGTGTGGGGAGCGAAACTATGGGATCACTTGGGTGAACATAGATTTCGTGGTGCTCCCTATAAAACATTGGCTGCTGCATTAAGGCTCTTGCTTGAGAGTCGCACAGCAAAGAAAGGTTTAAGACTTGCTATCTATAACCGAGGTGACTGGTTTTTCTCTTTGGAAGCGGAAGAGGTCTAATCGGAAGGGGATCTCTTTTCATTTGGTTCTCTTTGATGGAGGTTATCTAATGATTGATGGCCAGCGATATCGAAGAGGGGTAGGGCACAGTTGGGTATGTGTGCTTTGCGATGACAACCTTGAAAGCATTATTTCCTTGAGAAAGGCGATGGTGATTGGATTAGCCCACCGGGACGTGTGGATAGTCCAAAGGCAAGTGCGGCTGCGGCAGTATGAGAGCACCAAAAGCTGTATAGCTTGGTGTAAGTTCTTGCTTGAACGATAAATCAAGAAGTTAAAGGGTGTCCGCGGGGGTCAAGTTGCCCAAAAGTAGGATTGCTTCAGCAGGAAGATGCACACTACACATCGGAATGCGGGACGAATGCTTTCTTGCCTGACTGCTTGGGTACGGCCCTTCGGAGACTATTTGTGATGGCTGTGATTGCCCCTAAGTTTTGCGGGGAGCTATCTAAGACATGCTTAGATAGGCCTCGACGTGGGCCATTAAACGAGAAATTGGCCCACACCCACTTTTTATTGCGGTACTTTAGGGTAGCGAGGCCCCCGTTGAATAGGGCTTGTCTTTCTCCCTGTGGGGTCCTCAATTAATTGAATTTTATTGCCAATGATTGTAGGCAACCGTAACCTGATTAAGGCTTCACGCCAAGTGCGGACGTTCAACCCCACACAGGTATCTGCTCATCAAGTGTTTTATGTTAATTGAATCCTGAAATGTTTTTATACTATTTTAAGAAATTATTCTTCGCTGTCCATATAGGACATATAGGGGATTTATTTATATCTTCAATCTGTCAGATGTTTTTTGTCTGTCAGATGAATTTTGCTTTTATAAAGCTATCGTGAATTACAAAAAAAAAGGAAACATGAGCTTGCATAGTGGCAGCATGGTGGGGAAAGATGGAGATTCTGAAATTTCCTTAAGACGACTTTAGCTTTTAAGAAGCTTCGCCTTCTGGTCGACCGGTCATTATTATCGATCCAATAGAAATATATTGATCTTTACTTTGACATCAGTAATGATTCAACATAACCTAATCGTGAATGCACTTTTCCGATAAATTGTTGAATTTTGCTTGAGGATTAACTAAAATGTTACGAATCAAAATATAAAAAAGATTTTCTTTTTTTATTTTTGTTTGTTTTTTAATATCTCTTAGTAAAAGTTATGATGAAAAAGTAACCTGCGCTATATAATTAGTTAATATGACCCCATTGAGTACTTCAGTGTTAAAATTTGCTATGAAGAGATAATATAATAATAAAAACTAATTTAAAGAATATTTTCTTGCCAAACATTTTTCTTTGAAAAATTGCTAATATTCGTTTTTACAAATTAAAATTTTTCATATGAATTTAATGATAATCATTAGTCAAATCCTCAAAATGTACGATATTAATTAAAATTAATTTTATGCAAAAAAATAAAAAAAATAAAAATAAATAAATAAAATAAATAAATAACTAAAAAAGAACTAATATAAACAACAACAAAAGTGTTTCAACATTTCAAAGGCAAAACAAAGTTCATGATCTGTAAAGATTAATAAATGAGCCAAACGCACAAATATATAAATGTGTACGTATGTACGACGTATGTTCATAAAGAAGAAAAAGAAAATTCCTCAAAGGCACACGGCAAACTTTTTTAAAAATTTTCATTTAAAT